ATTATTATTATTATTTTTGGAGGTAATTTGTTAATTCAAAAAAAAAAAAAAATCCCTACCAATCTCTACAGCTGGGTTATAAAGGTTTTGATGGTTGGCGTACTGTTATTTGGCAATATTAGGGGAACGGAAAAAGAAAAAAAAATTATAAGACAGCAAAGTGAGTCGAAAAGAAAAGAAAAAAAAAAAAACAAGGGCGTAAGATGTTTTTTTTTCTTTGGACTACAAATACAAAGCCTTTTTTTTTTTTTTCTTTTCTTCCATTAGCTTAATTCAGCTTCATATGCTATATAATACAGTCGTAATAACCAAATTTTTTTTCTTTTTTTTTTGGTTTGTTGTTTTTTATTCTTCTTCTCTTCATTTGTGCATAATCAATGAAGTTTTTCAGAGACCACTGGATATCTGTATGTCTTGGGAAACTTTTTTCTTTTGGTTTTTTTTTTTTTTCTTCTTCCAAATGTGGATACGAAGAGTATTATGGCTACATTAATGCTTAATTAATGTTGAATGATTTTTTTTTTTTTCAGCCAAAAAAACAAAAACAAAAAAAAAGGTTCTATCTATTTATTTATTTTCCTCCTCTCATCCATAAACATACCTTGTTTTTTTTCCCTTTTCCTTTTCCTTTTTTTTTTTTTCTTTTGTCCCTCTGTACTTTTATCCCTCCCTCTCTTTCTCTCTCTCTTTTTGTTTTCCTTTCTATCGGTTATTGTGAATTGTATTTTTGATGTCCCCACTACAGTTGTTTTTTTTCTTTATTTCTTTTTTTATTTTTATTTTCACTGTGGTGTCAATAATACATTTTCTTTTGTATGGCTTTCCATCTCCAGTTAACCCCTTAATCAAATTTATGATAAGAGCTCTACTTGAAAGGAAACAATGAAAAAAGAAAAGAAAGAAAGAAAAAAAAAAAAAAAAGAATGTAAGAACTAACACTCCAATCTACTCTTGTGCTGCATTGCTTTTAATGAGGGCAATTGCATGTACACCGCAATAAAGAAAAAAGGAAAAGAGAGTAGTGATATAACAGCAAGTCTTGAAAGAAAAAAAAGTATATATCTAATATATATATATATATATATATATACATATATACATATATGTGTGATTGTTTTTTTTTTTTTTTTTCTTCCTTTTCCTCCCGATATTAATCTTATTTTTCCGCTCTTATTCTGTGCATTTTCAAGCAATATGGCGTAACTATGTTGTTTCTTCTATCCATAAAAGAGGTAAACAGGAATGGAAGATGGAGGAAAAAAAAAAAAAAGAAAAAATTAAACAATTTCAACATATACAGTTTGAGAAGTAGTGTGTATATGTAGAGAAAGAGAAAGAGAAGAAAAAAAAAAAAAAGCAAAATAAAATGAAAGAAGTCTCGATGTGATATGATGTGAAAGTGGAGAGTACCTTACAGAGGTTACCTCTTCACTATATATATAATATATATATATTATATATAATGATCTTCTTTTCTATATATTTTTCTTCTTTTTTCTCTTTTTTTGCTTCTCCGGTGTGCAGAATTCTCTTCTGTATATCACTTTTTTTTTTTTCTCTTCTCTGCCAATTTTTTTTTTTTTTGTTTAACTTAACGAAAAGAGAGTCTGCTTTCAGTGAGAGACACCAAAAAAAAAAAAAAAAAAAAAAAAAAAAAGAAAAAGAATAAAAAAATATATTTATTTTCCCGTTATTTTTTTTCATTTTTTTGTTTTATTTTGTTTTGATAGCTTGTTTTTGTTGTTGTTGTTGTTGTTTGCCTTCTTCCTTTTTTTTTTCTTTTTCTCGTGTTGGGAATAATAATGCCGATCTAATTTAGACGATGAGAATCAGGAGGGGGTTATGTCCTTTCTCTTTGCAGTTTATTATTTATTTATTATTTTTTTTTTTTTTTTGTGGTTGCAGATTATTAATAAGAAAAAAAAAAGAAAATAAATAATAAAAAGAATTCTCTCTCTCAATATATATATATATATATATATATATATATATTTATTTATAGGCATGAGAATAAACAGAGGAGTGATAAAAATGATAATGATAGTGAGAGAAGATTAAATACAATGGGGCTGCCTATGAACGGTATTGGACTCTATATATATACACACTCTCTTTCTTTTTCTTTCTCTGTGGGAAAGGGGAATTAGAGAAGAGTGAAATTGAAAGAGTTAGAAATAAGGAACTTGGCAACAACAACAACAACAACAACAATGATGATGATGATAATAATAGTAATAAATAACATGTTAAAACGAGACAGTAAGAAAAGAGAAAGAAGTAAAAAAAAGAAAAAAAAAAGAGGGACGCAAAAATTGAAAAAGAAAAAAAAAAAAAACAATATATATATATATATATATAGAGTCTCCTCTAGAGGTATTAGGCTTCTTCTCGTACTCCTATTTTAATCTGCTTGTGTGTTTTTCCTTTTTTTTTGTTTTTTCTTTTTTATTTTCTCCACCACTATTATTATTACTACTATTACCACTATTATTACTATTACTTTCTTTCCCCTGCACTCCTTTTCACTGAATTCGAGTGTAAACCACATCTTTGATGCTCTAACTTTATTCCCATCTGTTCACGTGTATTTTGAACGCTCTTCAGAAAAAAAAGAAAAAAAGTTTTTATATGAGAAATGTCTGTGGGTGTGAGGGGACACAGAAATAATTTAAATCTGATGAGATAAATGGATATTATTTGTGAGTATTAATGTCTTTTTGTTTTTCATTTCCTTTCTTCTTAGAGAAGGGGGTGGGGAGAGAAACCGAGAAAAATAAAAAAAGATAAAAGGTGGTGGTTATCCCGCTCTCTACTAAAATTTCCTTTTTCCCTGTTTTCTTTTTTTTTTTTGTTTTGTTATTTGCGGTGCGTATGAGTATGTTAATAAATTCCCCGCGGTTGTATATATATATATATATATATTTATGTGTGTATTCTTTCGGTGTAAACACGTACAACTGCTGGCTGGTCTTTTTATTGGCCTATTGTGTTGATGTTTGGAAAGAAGCAGTGTAACCCACTGACAGGACCTTTCCCCCCACTGCCTCTCCTGCCGCCATGGCCTTTTTTAGCGAGATGTGCGGATCATCCATTCTCATTTATTTATTGATTTATTTATTGATTTTGTTTGTTATTATTATTGTTTTCTTCCTTTTTATTTTGGTTATTTGTATCTTCCTTTCTTTTTTTTTTGTTTTTTTTTTCTCTTCCTTTTTTACTTTTGATTATTTCTATCTTGTTTTCTTCCATGAATTCATATATATATATATATATATATATATATATATCTATTTGTATATGTATATATATACATATATTTATTTATTTATATACATATATACACACAACTACTCCTTCTTTCTCTCTCTCTCTCTTTCTCTTTTTTGTCTTCTATTGATAATATCCACAGGCAGAAAAGAAAAGAAAAAAAAAAGAAAAGAAAAGAAAAAACAAACAACTCCCCGAATGGTCTCCTTCACCTGCGGCCGCTGTCAAGATGTTGTGAAGAAGCCGAAGGTGTTGTCGCACGCCCACAGCTGCGGCGCCAGCGGCTTCACTTGCGTCGACTGCATGGAAGTCTTCGATCTCAACACCGTCAAGGCCCACACCGCGTGCATCAGCGAGACCGAGAAGTATCAGGGAAAGTGGCGGCAGAAGACCACAACAACACAGAGAAGAAGAGACAGCGACAGTGATGATGATAATAAAGATAATAATAAAGATAATAATAATAATAATATTAATGGACATTTGATGCGACCACCGCGTGCGCCGATGGACTTTAGTAGCGACTCCGACTCCGACGATGATGATGCGTGGGTGAAGGCAAAGAAGAACCCCACAACTCCCGCAGAGAAGAAGAAAGAAGAAAAGAAAGAGAAGAACACATCCCCACAGAAACGAGCCAGAAGCCACACCTCTACACAGTCTAGTCCTATCACTACTACTACTACTACTACTACTAATCATAATAATAATAATAATAATAATAATAATAATAATAATAAAGAAAAAGAAACAACATCCTCCTCTTCTACACATGTGAACAGCAAGCGGGTAAAACATGAGCCGCTGGCATTACCGCGGGCCATGACGACTGCCGATTGTGTCGTGCCGAGTTTTGTGCTTGGCACCGACGAGGAAGTGGCGACCGTCGCTGCGTGGATCCTCCGCGACGAGGCGGCGGAGAAGAGAGAAGAGACACAACAGTTAACACTGCGGGAACTCGCAAAGAAGATGGTGGAGCGGTATAATGCGCGGATTGCAAAACACCTCCGGCAGGCGATTCAAACAGCCATTAAAAACGGCAAACTGCGGGAGGAGAATGGGGTGGTGATGGTGGCCTCTTCACAGTGAAGAGAGAGAGAGAGAGAGAGAGAGAAGGAAAAAGAGATAAAGAGATGATGGATACGATTAAGAAAAGAGAAGAGAAGAAACAAAAACAAAAAAACAAACAATCAGAGACAGTAAAAGATAAAGTGGGGGTAGTATTAGATGTTGTTTTACAGTCTACTCTTCTATACTGTATGTATGTGGTATAGTGTACCCTTATTTTTATTTTTATTTTTCCCCTTTCACACTCTGTATTTGTTTGTTTGTTTGTTTTACTCTTCCCATTTAGTACTCTCATTGTATTTAATAATAAAAAAAGAAAAAAAAAGATAAACGTTAGATATGCTTTAAACTCTTATACCCAATTTATTACTAACGTACTATATGATATGATATGATATATATATATATATATATATATATATATATATATTATTTAGACAGCTATCTTTGTACATGCATTCATTTCTCATTCATTCACTATTATTATTATTATTATTATTATTATTATTATTATTATTTATTTATTTATTTATTTATTTCTGTTTTTAAGGTCCAAGTCTCTCTCTCTGTGTATGTGTGATTGAGTACGTATATGTGTGTGTGCGTTTTTAACACATTACAATAAATATAAAGTTTATTTCTCTAATATACATTATATGAATATTAAAGAGAGAGAAACCAAGAGTGTGAAAGAGGTCCGGAACGATCACAACAAGAAGAAAACAACTGTTAACAAAAACACAATATTTCTCTTTCTTTCTTTTTTTCTTTCTCTCTCTTATATATATATATATAGACCATATAATCACATAGTAGGAGATTAGGATCATAAGAAAAAAAGGCGGAAAAACAGGAATTGATTAAAAAAAAAAAAA